CGACCCTGGGCGGCCCCACTGGCTGTGGAGGGTCTGAGGGTCCCCTCCCTGGTCAGGGCATTAAAGGACTCTGTCAGTCGGCCCCAAGCTGGCCCAAGGGCAGGGACCCCCCACAGCAGCCTCTGCCCCGCCCCCGCAGGCTCACACCTGCCTCCTGGCCACAAACGATGAGGTGGGGCAAGCCGGGACCAGGAGGGGGCAGGGCGTGCGAGGGATGGGGGATGGGCGGGACCCGTCACCCCTCCTGAGGCCTCGAGGCGTTTCCAGGCCAGGGGCGCGGCCTGGGCAGGAGGACCCTACGGTCTCGGCTGGCGGCGCCCGCTCGGGCTCGCTTGGGCTGGGGCGCAGGACCGGAACCCCGTGCTCATCTCCACTGGACACGGCCAAGGGGAGGGACGCCAGCTCAGAGTCCCTCAGGCCCGGGTGTGCCGTTTTGCACGTCTGAGGGACTGCTTGACGGGCCGTCCGCGCCATGGGACAGTGGGTGGCTCGGGCCTGTGCTGGCCCCGTGAAGCGTTTGCTGAGCGACGCCAGGAAGGAAAGTCGCTACACTGCATGGTTCGTGCCCCCGGATGCCCCGGGGCCAGCCGGCAGCCCTCGGAGTGAGGGCGGTCCCACACGCCACTTCAGACAAGGGCCCCGGGGACCCAGGAGGGACACGGGTGGGCCCGGGGCCCCGTGGCAGGGCAGGTCTCGAGCCCAGCTCTCAGATCTCTTGTTTTCACTAGAGTGTGAGTGGATGCCCTGTGCTCAGGGTGTGTCACTGGAAGGCGGCGACCCAGGAGACAGGAGGCTGTGGGGGGGACGGGACCCCAGCCGACGCCCAGCACAGGCCGAGAGGTACTTACAGCACTGGTTGCTGGGGACAGGCAGCGGCTTGTCCTGCTCGTCCCGGAGCGAGTCCTGCGGGGAGCCAGGGAGACTCGTCTCAGCTCGAGAGCCGGGGCCGGGAGGGTCCTCTGCCCTGCCCCATCCCGACGTCCCCCGGCCCCAGCCCTCTCCCTCTGGATGAGGAGGACATGGATGTTTACAGAGTAGGAGGGGGGACACACACAGAGACAGAGACACACAGAAAGAGACACAGAAGACAGAGACACGGGCGAGGAATAGAAACAGGCAGACAGAGAGAAGAGAGCCGGAAGCAGGTTGCAGAAGAAAAGCAAGAAGGTGAGAAGGTTGGACAGAAATTATTATTATTATTAGAGACAGGGTCTTGCTATGTTGTCCAGGCTGAAGGGCTGTGGCATGATCATGGCTCACTGCAGCCTTGACCTCCTGGGTTCAGGCAACCCTCCCACCTCAGCCCCCAAGGAGCTGGGACTGCAGGCCCCTCCACAGCCGGCTAATTTTTGTATATTTTTAAAATGGGGTCTCACTATGTTGCCCAGGCTGGCCTCAAAATCCTGGCCTCGAGCCATCCTCCTGCCTTGGCCTTCCAAAGTGCTGGGACTACAGGCGTGAGCCGCTGCACCCGGTCTGACCACCAGTGACATGTGAGTGTGCGAGTGACCGCTGCCTGATGCCGCCCGCAATAGTGCTCGGTCCCGTCGGCACCTGGCCCCACCCTCAACCCTCTGAAGACCGTCTCGCCCCCATGACACACAGCCAAGGGGAGGAGGCTGGCATGGAGGGCAGAGGCCAGCGCAGGGCAAGGGGGGCCTGGAAGGTGCAGCCTGATGCTGACGGGGGCAGGGCAGGGAGGGGTGTAAGGACCACTGCCAGGGCAGGGCGCGGCGGTCCGTCTGTCATCCAGCATTTTGGGAGGCCGAGGCAGGAGGATCGCTCGAGCCCAGGCATTTTTTTTTTTGGGTTGGAGTCTCACTCCGTCGCCCAGACTGGAGTGCAGCGGCCGCTCCCGGCCCC